AAAAAAAAAACGCTTAGAAAATCGTCAGAAAGGGGGTTGGACGAGAATGAGACCAAAAAATGAAAATGGGGCTTTTGGACGAGCTATACAACGTGTGTCATTACGTACGCGTGGGCCCTAGTGCGAATAGCTGACTACAGCAATTGAAAATGTCCTCCGAAATTCATCCACTCATAAGCATAAGTTTGAAAAACCTTAGCAACAGCGAATTATCCACCTTTTTCAGCCTCTTGAGATAGAAAATTGGAGTGGAGATTGAAGCAGCAAAAGGAACAGAGAATAATAGAAAAGGATAAAAACATCGCCCCATCACTAAGCGATCAGCCGATTGCGTGCTGAATGTGTGGGTCTTGGCGCGAATATTGCAATCTGTACTGCCTCGACACTCGTCCGGTACACCATTGGTCGAGAGGCGATCTAGTAACGGGGCTCCCGCTATGCCCTCTCCGTTGAGTTTTGGGACCCGATAGCGTCCTTACTGTTGCCCTCGGGGGCCACTGGGTACTTCGGGGGGAGAACTCAGAAACCATTTTTATCGTGAACTGTGCCTTTAAATGAACGTTTTTTTGAGAAATGGAGCAACAACAAAGCAGGAACAACGACAAAAAAAACCCGTTGTGAGAAATGAACCTACAGCTGGCCGTTGTTGCTGGCGTTGCCTCGGGATTCTGTTCTGACATTGTTGGCGTGGTCTCGGGATTCTGTTCTGACATTGTTGGCGTGGTCTCGGGGCTCTGTTCAGAAATCGTTGACGTGGTCTCGGGGCTCTGTTCTGACATGGTTGACGTGGTCTCGGAGCCCTGTTCTCCCTGTTCTGACATTTTCTCCAATGTAGTACGGTGCTTACGGAGCCTTCTCAGTGCTCTGAATTGTTCCCAATTCATTAGAGTGTTGTTGTGCAACCAAAAAGTCTACCTTGCGAGTGTGGTGCGCCGCGCCTTATATCCATTACGGTGGAAGAAGTTAAGCATTTCTTCGCGTCTACTTGGATCTGAAACGAATTTCCGAGAGAAAAAGGTCAGGATTGCCTAAGCATAGCATACCTTCGCTGTAGTGGATATCCACGTAGTCATCGATTTCCTGATACAATTGCCGAGGCTTTTTGTCGGCACATTCAGGTGTAACGCAAGCCTCTTGGCATGCCTAAATACTTTACAAATTCAACACTGTCAAGAAAGCCTTAATCAAACGTCCCACCTTGTATATTAATCGCTTCACTTCGTCCTCTACGGACTTCCACGGTGAGCATACGTGCGGCAGGCGACCTGGATCTTTAGTGAAGAATTCACCATTCAGCACCTGGAATAACAATGCCTATAGCCGTTCTCTACCATGAGCAACATCACAACTGCTGAATAGGATGGGCCCATGCGATCATGTGGTGACCACGACTGATTACTAACCGGTACTGGCACCCTAGTGCCAAGTTTTCTGCAACCAGCACAGAGGTAGACATCGCAACGAGCGTTGGTCCTCTGGTACATGAATGTGTAACACAAATTTCCTCCTAAAAATGCACACATTGCTGTTGAGCGTGAAGAACTATCTGATTCGATCTTAATTGAAACAACTGCTTACCTGGAATATCATATCTCAGAACAGGGTGAATACCCTTTGAACTGACGTTGGCCACTGCAGGAAACATTCTCACATTCTGTTGGAGTCCACGGGTGAAAGCACTATTAGCGGCAATATCTAAGAAGTGGATTTCGTCAAAGGAGGAAAGCTTATCGTTTTCACAATATATATATAATACCAGGAGTTGGAGGAGCCTCAGTTCGTACAGTGAGCGGCTCTTCATCCTTTGAAGGTCCCACTGCGAGCGACTTTTCGTCCTTTGAAGACCCCTCTAAACAAGTTATGGACTTCCCAGCAATGGTGTTATTTTGGCAAAGCTTACCACTCTTGTGTAAACCTATGAGGACGACGTTATAGGGAGGTTTGCTGGATGACGGCACATATTCAGAGCCTCCTACAAATAGCATATTACTATTCAAGAAGCAAAACATGCCAAGCCAACAAGCTCTGCAATCTTACTCGTACTGCGAGCCGCCGAAGTGGGAGGATATCGCATCATGTTCGACTTCTCAGATCAGCTTCATAAGCAAGTTACTGAAACAATTAATTTGCACGTCATGTAGCAGGAAGAAAAACTTCTTCCAACTGTGCGAGCATTTGCGAAATAACAATTGTGAAAAGGATTGAACGGTATAATCGAACCAAAGGAAACACTGCAGAACACAAAAACAAAAGCGCCGGTGAAACAAAGTTAAAATCTGTGACAAAAGGCCACAATGAATACTCTATGTCTAGCTTGTCCAATTCCCTCGAGACATCTAACTAGTGACACGGATTGCCGCGCGCTGCAAGCGGACAGCGTAGGGCATTGATTCATCCAAACAATGTTCGCAGCGTCACAAGGATTACGAGTAGTGAGTAAAACTTCGACCTCGGACAGGCCGTTCTTACACTTTCCATGTGCTCTTTATTCCTTACACCATCGAAGCCCCGCCTGCCCTCGCCTTCTTAGTTGCTTTTACTCCTTAAGAAGGGAACTGAAAAAAAAACTGAACTGGAGGAAGAGGAGTGAAGTCAAAGGTACATTCCAAAGCGCCTATGAAATAACAGGTTTCAACGAAGGTAATGCCCGTCGACGCAATGCTTAAGTACGATAAGCCATTTTAAAAAAGTGTGGTAAGAAGCTTATCATCAATGAAGCTTTATTCCATTCATTTGCAACCCTTCCAACGATAAACGTTGTTCCCGTTGCTTAGAGGAAGGACTGACGTGATTATTTTTCTTGGTAGGTTGGATAACTCTCTTTTGTGTTGATTTTAAAGCATGGGACTACAACTCTTGACACATATAAAAGGAGTATAAAGAAAGAAACAGTGCCATCAGTTTGGGGTGCACACAAATCAGATCGGGGTGTGATGCAGTAGGATCGAAATTGTCGTGTCGCGACGAGAGAGACGTCACGGGCGAAGTAATGTAGCAGAATGCAGCAGCAAGGAAGAACTACAGGAGCAATAGAACTAACAGTAGAATCATGCCAAAAGTAATAATTGCATAACGATTGAGCTGTATGAAGAACGCTAGAACTGATATAACTAGACAAATGGTCCGCGACAGCCGCGTGCGGTGGGTCGATTACACAAAGCCGTTCCCACTGCCCGTCTCCCATCAGATAGCATCCTAACTGAGCGAACACAAACAGTTGATTTCAGGCTCCGGTACTTGCGGAATTAGTGGTGATAATAAGAAGGAAGAAGAACGAAACACGTTGATCTTGAACAAGCGTGGCGGGACTATCCGTCTTTTGTAAATAAAAACAATAAAGGCTGTAATGGCTTATAGAAACCGCTGTGCCGACCGAGACGGAATGCGCTGACCCATTCAACAGTTTCTGAGTATTACTGAGATTGTGCAACACAGCGAATTCTCTAAATGTGGAAATGTTGAAGGATAGTAATGTGATCAAGATATACAAGTTACAGGATCATAATAATGTAAACCACTCGTTCTACGGCAGCTGGGTAGGGTTAACACGTTGCATGGACGATGGCTGACTAACTGATGCAAGCTCAAGAAAGGAAAATCACCAATGAGCATGTAAATACTGTGGGGAATATCTCTTTTATGGTAGACACCTCATATTACTCATAAAAAGTTATACATGATCGCATGATTTTGCTTAAACGCGCAAATTGCAGAAAATAAGCAGTGATTTAGATTAGTTCTTGTTGATCTTTAATCAGAAGTTTTGAAATTTGTTGAGTGGCGGAAAAATTCTTTCTGCAGAGCTCTGCAACTGTTCAACTGCTCGATTATTTTCAATTGAATTCATTGAATAATTTACACTTTGAAGGATAAAGCTAACGTACCATATTTTTACATCATACACAACAAGGACAACAAATCTTACAATTGTCAAACATCATTCACAGAGAGCTGAACTAAAACTCAAAACCATCACACTTATATCTACAGAACACGGAACAACTTCACCTCGAATTTCAGTGAATGATACGAACATGTAAACCAATATCTTGCTAATACGACCGTCTTCGCTATTAAAAGAAAGAGACATTCACCTGGTAAATCGTGACCTATTTTCAGCAGTTGTGGGCCTATTGATCGGGTCTGGTATTTTCTCCCCGATCGGCGCGTTGCGCTCGCCGCACTCGATCGCGCGCTTTGAAGGGAAAGATGTGAATTCCCAGTGGTAGGATGCGGAGAGTCGCCGCGGAACAACTGCAGCTGGCAGTGGGTGTTCGAGGAGAAGTTCCACCACCTCAGTTGATCGATGCTCCAAGCACTTTTTCTGACCCAACAGGAAAAGGGTACTACGTACAATTGCGTACGCCATGAAACTACCGTAGTGTTATTTGTTTTTGTATTGAGCGTTTTTTAATACAAACTTGCTCTTTTTTGTGGTTTCAAATTCCTGAAAAGGCTCTTTTCGTTGCAGGGCTGTAAAGTGAGTCACTTGAACTTCAGACGTTGCTTGAAGACGGTGACAGTTTTGTGTCCTGACTTTGGCATTCCCTCAGACTTTTGTGGTGTAGGTCCATCAGGGTAAGCGACACAGGGTCTCAATTTTCCAATGTTCTTTAACGATTCAGATCGTTTCTTTTTTAATGCTTTTTATAGCTTTATTTTCTTTCCTTAAGATACAAGACTTTCCTGCTTTGGTGAAGATTCGACACCATTTCCAAAACAAAGCCTCGATTCATGGCACTTTCCGAGCCGAAGGCTAAACGTCCATGTCCAGTTCATGCGCAGGTGTTCTACTTTCTGATCTGTATATCTGGCTTATTTTACTCCTCATAATGAGTGACTCGCAGTGTTAAGAATACCTATTCAGGGCCTTCTCGCTGAAGAGGATGAGGATCATCTTGCCAAGAAATTATTTTCTGGTAATTTTGAAAAACTGCAAGAATCATCTTCAGACGAAGAAGAGGACTCATCTGTACAAGAGGAGGTATGCCGACCTTTCTTACTTTTTTTTTTATCTAATTCTATCTCTTATTGTATTCTATCTTCTTGTTCGACGGACTTTTTATTAGGAAGAACTTTTCTGAAGCTCGATCCGTTAATTAGAGGGTTCTTTCTTAATAGCTAGATATTCATGTCCTTTTCGTTGAAAGTTCAGTAGTCGTTTTATACACAGAGTATTTTGTGCTCGGTCCTCATTTTTCTTTTACGTAGTTGTTTGGAAACTGTTGTTGAACTATAGTAAGCTTAATTACATTTGGCTGGTAATGTTATTTTTAACTACTATAAACTTATATTCAGCTGGGAATGTTAATGTCTTAAGGCAAGTTTCCAGGAAACTCAGAGAGGATCAAGTTCAGTTTGGCATGATGAGGATGACGTTGAAGAAGAAGTTCAACTTCCTAGCGGCAAAACTGCCGTCATTCTCAAGCGAAGCACCGACACTGGTGGATCCATAGCAGCAAATGCAAGTGTAGCTTAGCTGTAGAGAGTCCATCAAAATCTATCCGACGAGCTAATCAAGTTGTTCTCTTCAGGAGTACCAGAATCGCCTTCGCAAAGCATTCCAGCGGCATCACCATGGTACACCAAAGTGGGCAAAGCTGGAACAAAGTACCAAAGCGATGTTTTTTTGCTGTCACATCATGAGCAATCATGGTTTTTTTTTCAGAAAAGGCTCCAGTGCAAGCTACTGGCGATGAATCGGATGCGGAGATAGAAGAAGTGTTCGATGAGATGACACGCTCATCCATTCGATACGTAGAGAAGGATCACTTTCTAACCAAGGACATTGTGTCTTCATTCCGTTGGCCAGATATCACAGTCGGACATCGTGATTCGGTAACTGTTTCCCATTGAAAGCTATCCATCTAGCACTTCCTCACGAACATCGGTTTCATTACTTCAGCGACCAATCAACTGCGTTTTNTTTTTTTTTTCAGAAAAGGCTCCAGTGCAAGCTACTGGCGATGAATCGGATGCGGAGATAGAAGAAGTGTTCGATGAGATGACACGCTCATCCATTCGATACGTAGAGAAGGATCACTTTCTAACCAAGGACATCGTGTCTTCATTCCGTTGGCCAGATATCACAGTTGGACATCGCGATTCGGTAACTGTTTCCCATTGAGAGCTATCCATCTAGCACTTCCTCACGAACATCGGTTTCATTACTTCAGCGACCAATCAACTGCGTTTTGTTCCACAATGTTAGACCCGTACTTATTGCAAGTGGAGCCTCTGGGATGGTCCAGTTGTTTCGGGTGAGATTGCAATCATCGACTCCAAGGTGTTTCTTTGTTGTAGCTTACTATCACTAGGTCGGCGATAGATCGGAAGAGGGCAACTTTCTGCAGAGCGTGCGATTTTCTAATTTCCCAGTCACAAGTATGGGAATGTTGACAGGAGGATGCTCAATAATGTGTGGATCAATAAGACAGGTACTAAGATTAAATATTTTCATTGCGGTTCATAACTATTCATAACTTGCGTCGAACACTTCGTTAGAGATGCTTCCTCCTGCAGGCTTGAGTGATTTATTCACATTCGCCAACGTCCACTTTTACAACACTTTTCCTGAGAAACTGGATAAATTCATTGGATATTCCTTTTCTTCTGTGTTTCATTAGCAACGAGCTCTTTCAGGAATACCTTATGAAGTATGATCTCGAAGAAGGCGCTGTGATGCAGCTGCGGCTTCCGAAATGTGAGCTTTTCGAGCAGCATTGAGCTTTATATAGGTGCACTGTTGCTTTTATTTGAATGTGTTACGTTTCATAGGTATACCTAACCAGAACATCGGCCGTTTTGCAATTTCCAAGGATGGATCTCTGCTGGCCATGATTGCACGTAATGCACAGGTGTACGTGCTCTCCTCATCGGTAAGTGTTTCGAAGGTTACTTGTGTTTTGCACTGAAATCCTTCAAGACGTTCTTTAGTCTATGGAATTGGTTAAAACATTATCTGCCCCTACGGACTTGGCATCGGTACAATTTTTCCCTGGATCCAATAACGAAATATGGGCTTTGACAGGTGAAGACTGATTTCGATCTTATCTGGAAACTCCATTTGAACATTTGGGTTCGTATTACGCGATCTCACAGTAGGTAGTCTTTGCAGCATAAATTGATTTTACACAAAAATGTGCAGTAGTTTCTAAAATATTCTTCTCCATTGCTGCAGTTCCAGAATTTTTAATCACACATATTATCCTTAGAGCGCGGTGAGGTCATCATTTGGAATCTGAACGGATATCAGCATTTATTACGGGACGAAGGTGCAGTACGTGGCACGAAAATTCGGTTAAGTATTGACGGAAACACGATAGCATGTGGGTAAGTGATGGAAGGCATTCTAGCGATCAAACCGCCTCGTATCAGTCTCAATATGATCTGTCTGTATCTGTGTCTGCCTCAGATCGAATACTGGTATAGTGAATTTGTACGACGTGGCTGATGTCCGAAACAGCACTGAGCCTAAACCTCGCGTGGTTGTGCCAAATCTACTTACTTCATGCGATTCGATTGCCTTCACTCATGACAGTCAAGCCATGGCGTTCAGTAGCAATGTGAAGGTAGTCCTTCATTTTGCGTTTTCATACGCTCGTACTCAATTTTGTGCTGTCCTTGGTTTTAGAAAAACCAAATAAAGCTTCTTCACATCGCTAGCAGCACAGTGTTCAAGAACTTTCCCAAGAGACATGAGAAGGTATATTTTCAAATTTTATTCCTCCAAATGCAATTTTCAATTTATCTAATTATAATTCTCAAGCGATTTTGCAATTCAATAAGGTTGCAGCTTGATGGTTTCCATCCAACATCGTTATAAATCGCAAATAAGGGGAACAATTTTTGGTTCCTATACGTATTTTTGTTTCTTACAGATGCCAAATATTGAGTGCGTTGAATTTTCACCCCATAGTGCTTTCTTGGCCATTGGATGTGGGAATGGTCAGCTCATTTTGGAGCGTATGAATTATTATGAAGACTACTGAAGGTAAAAGGTTCCGTTCGACTTATTACATTAACGCCAATTGCGCTCTGAGGAGAAAGAATCGTGAGGACTGGCCCCTTTTTCCCCACGCGACTGCAGCCCACACGTGGATTTCCTGTTCCAAGTTGACAATTTTTTTGACTAGACTGTCCACGCGGCATAAAAAATGTAGTCCACATGTAGACTGCATTGTTGTCATCATGTTATCGAATGCCTTCCCTTGTGCACTTGTTAAGTTTACGTTATATTGTAGCCTTGTTAATCTTGTTGTTGTTGAGTTTCATTGATACCTCAGATTTTAATGTTGCTGCGTTACCTAGCTCTTCGAATTTTTTATTGCGGAGAGCCACTGAGGTTCTTTTTCCTCTGCTTGAAAAATTACAAATGTATGTAGATAATTAAAAGTTGAATGATTTTGTTTCTAGAACAGTTCCGGAATTCTTGCAAAGTTTTGTTGCAAACTGTAAATTACTTTAGTGGCGCTGTAAATCAATAGAAACGATCGTTTCCGACTCTTTATGGTTTTTGGTTGTTATCAGGAGCAAGCTCATTGCCACCCTAAGCGGCTAGAGATTTCTGGACTTTGAAAAAAGGTCAGAAAGGTGTCGTTAATCCCTATGTTCAATGAACTTCAAGCCTGGAAAACAGTTATGTGTTCGAGTTTGATCTGACTGAATGTTTTGCCCAGAACCGAGCATCTTTGGGATATCGTTGGCCTTCGGGATGTGAATTGTCAATACTGATAAGGTAGTTGTCAGCCGTAAAACAGGTCTTGACAGCTTCGGAACCGGTTTCATCTCCACGGAACCAGAGGGACATTGTCTGCCTTGAGTAGCCTTTGCGACGATTATTTGTCTTCGAATATACATTTTCCATTCTTTTTTTGATGCTAAAGCCTTCCGAAGTATTTCTTGACCTGGTTTCGGAGACAAGGTGATGACATTAAATATACAGACATCGTAAGCGCTATTTTCTGAAATAGGGAGTCTTTTCTCTAAGACTATCGCTTATTCACATACAGCTCTAATCAACGTGTAAGCATGACGATAAGGATGTGGTTAAGTGTAGAATAATACAAAAAACTATAAACGCGTCTATACAAAGCATATTATGCTAAATTCTAGTAATAAAAATGTTTCTTATGAAACTCAAACAGGTGGAAATCTAATTAATTCAAAGGGACACTGAACTTATCAAATAGCCAAGAAATAAATTCGATGATGGGTATTTTTAATGCTGGAAATATATCGACTTCGGTGCAAGCCTCGAACGATTGCATTTTAATTTTCGATTCGGTTTAGGGTGCTGTGCCCAGCAGTTGACTACCGCAGTATCACAGTCACACAAAGCTCTTTTACACGTTCCTTCAGCATCTGAAAGAATTCCACTCAAAAGGATCCTGGAGGCCACGTTGTAGCGGCAAACTAACCGAGGCAAGTGGCCGTATTGTTAGTGCACTGCCAGTTGTAGATATCTATGTACTCCCATGCTACGTCCAGGCACAACTTGTTATCAACTGCAGCATCATAGCACTTATCATGAAGCATGCAGCACCTGCAATAAACAAAGCGATACCCCTCACCATACTTGTTTACCTATGTGTTGTAGGAAGTCATATAAGCAATCAAACAGATGACATCATTACAACGGCGCCTTTTACCACACTGAGACTGCGCACTATCAGCCCCTTTCGGATTTGCTCGGGAGCCTAGACTCGAATTTGGGGTGTGGTGCGTTAGGATCGAAATGGTCGCGTCGCGATGAGAGGGGCGTCGCGCGCGAAGGAATGTAGCAGGATGCAGCAGTAGGTAAGAGATACAAGAACAAAAGTACTAATGGCAGAATTATGCATAAAATAATGGTCGTATATCGATTGAGCTGTATGAAGAACGCTAGAGCTGTAATAACGGCGAATGAGTGGTACGCAACAGCCGCGTGCGGCAAATCGATTACCCAAAATCGTTCCTAACGCCCGTCTCCCCCGAATTTGCGATGGTTTGCGCAAGCGCGGCGAATCTTTGATAGTGGTCTCACGACCTTCCCATCAATCGATAGCGCTTCAATTTCGTAGTCGCACTTTTTTGTCCATAATAATGACATTCCTACTCAAAGCGAATGATATTCTACGCACGATTCACCTTCATCAGGGTCTAGGCTAATAGTCGTGGCTGGTCCACAGCTAGCAGCGCTTAAGATACTCTAAAGTGGGGTGCTCTTAATTTTAGCATTTTTCCCATCACTAGGGGGGGGGGGGGGGGGGNGGGGGGGGGGGGGTGTCAAGTACAGTAACCGAACAAGGTATTCCTATGAAGAGGAATCATATTTCTCTTACGGCGTGGGTGTATTCTTGGCGCCATCGTCAATGAACCGGAAAGACATACAGTGATACAAAGCTTTTTATTTTTTTTAGTAATAAAAAAATCCTACTTGTCAATTTCGTCGATCGGCTCATGTGAACCTCCAATTCCACACCAACAACCATAATTGTTGTAACACTGCAATAATACTCTAGTGAGCGTAAACAATGGCATCTATTAAAGTGAGTGGAATTCAATGGTCCCATCGGTTATGGATGAGCGTAACAACTCAAAAATTTCGATGTTCGGAATAATTTCCACGCTATAAAGGTTGAAACGTGATCGACGATCATTCTTCCTAACTGACAATTAGTCTCACTCATCACTCTCGTGCAATCAAGCAAACTCATCGTGTGCAGTGCTCATCCGCTACTCAATCGTATTGCTGTGAGGAGTCATATGGATCGTAAATGACAAGTGAAGCTGCTACCCAGCTCCCATTTGTCCTCGTCGGGGCTACTGACTAAGAGTTGCCGCGCAGCGAGGCAACTAACCAATAATCACCGCGCGATGTGGACTTATCGTCTTGTACTCATGATTTTCTAAGACAAGAATAGTTTCTGGGAAAAATCCCGATAGGAGGCAGCGGTATTTGACTTGGAGGGCAACCTTGTTCAACCATTCTCATTTAGCTTTCGATTTCAATTCATGTAAGGCTAAAGGGTGGGATGAGCGCGAGATGCGTGAGATGATCATTCATGAAGAACAAAACTAGACTTATCTCGGGTGACTTTAGAATACCGTTTTTCTTTTGAAAGAGTGCATTTTAAGGACGGTCTTGAAGAGATATCGGACAGCTAATTTTTCTCCATATAAAATGACAACTGAGAGAGGTCGAGGAAAGTTGACATTCTGAGTAGCCCTAGTAAGATCTGGTACCCATATCTAACGGCCTTTTATTTTCTAAGTCACACTCGCTTAAATCGCGGTTGACTGCATTGGATTAGAAGCTTTTGAGGCGTTCACTGGTGGTGATAGAAGTTAATGTGCGATTAGAAAAGGATAGTATACGTGATCACCCCGATCTCCGCTGAAACAAATTCCCTCAAGCTTACCACCGAACTTATGTACAAAAGGTAGTAGCTAAAGAATAATGGAAAAAGATAACTCACTATAGGACTATAATGAAGAGTACATTCGCCCACTTGCCGTAGATTCCATAATGATCCTACGATGGGCTGTGGAGGATGAACAGGCTTTGAGGGAACGGACGGAGCCGAATAGAGCAGAGGAATCGAAGCCAGACAGACAACGAGTCGATACATTGCTCAAATACCAATCTACCTGCAAACAAGGGTCTTAAATATCTGGACATTTTGTAAGGGCTGTCCATCAATGAGGTTTTTCAGTTGAATGATTTTGGGATGCAGCTCGATTTTTTCGAAAAAATGAACTTTTGGCTGTTTAGATAGGAATTTGCGAAAGCTGCTGATCAAGTACCCACGAAGAATTTCGCCACAAGTATGATAAGGGAAATGAAGTGTCAATTAAACACACAGGCGTTCAGTTTGGAGAGCGATTCCCAAGTTACAGTATGCTTTTCGTCCATCTTGCCCTAATCTTATGCACCTTCACCGCATTAGAAGCTCAACAAGACCTGGAGGCACCACGGATCTGAGTGGTCGGAAGGGGGTTCGTAATTCTGCTCCTCTACGTTGTGGGCACCAGCTCTATGAACCCCAGTGGGCATCAGGAATGGCTTTGTTAGGGGACAGGAATGAAATTCAAACAGTAGTCACTTATGAGGCTACTGAACAACTAAATAAAGTAAATAAACGTTGGACGCCAAAATAATTAATCGGGTGGGGATTACACCTGGCAATTCTGAACAAAAACAAAAAAACCTAGTAATATGTCGAAGTTCGAGGGAAGTAATAATTCAGCGAATGACCCTAATAAAATTTACTGAAACTGCTTTATCTGGGAAGGGCATCCCACTTCAATATTAGTAGCATTGCGGCTAATGATTTTACTCTGTAATAACTGTAGTAATATGATTGGCAAATAGTACAAACAGCGAATGATAAGGGCGATAAGGGTCTGAGGTGTTATTGAAACTTCTACTTTGCCTAGCACATGATAGACAGAGGCGATGAGGATTACCTGGCTCTTGTAGGTGGAGACACAATGAGTCAGGCTTTACAGCGATGGCTCAGAGGGGGACTGATTTATGAAGCAAAAAAGTTGGATTTCAACTTGAAGTTCTGGATTCTATGTAGGGATGATTACGAANTATTGAAACTTCTACTTTGCCTAGCACATGATAGACAGAGGCGATGAGGATTACCTGGCTCTTGTAGGTGGAGACATAATGAGTCAGGCTTTACAGCGATGGCTCAGAGAGGGACTGATTTATGAAGCAAAAAAAGTTGGATTCCAACTTGAAGTTCTGGATTCTATGTAGGGATGATTACGAAAGAACTGGGATCTGGCCGGAATATAGACGGAACATCTGGCAGAAAAAAGAAAGCAGAAAAAGGACTTTTCTTAAGAAGTTCCAGGAAGTTCTACTGCATAGGTAGTAGAAAGCAGATTGGAAAGTTGCTTCATTAAAAAGAATGGACTACTCGAAAACTGTTTGAAATTGGATGATGAGCCCAGATCGAAGCTCGGTGTGTTGAGAATGGACTTATCTGATTTCTGTTCAGCTGTTTATTGAGCACGTCTACAAGGCTTTTTCCGAATGGTCCTAGTATATTGCTAGAGTCTAGTAGAAATTTGGAAGTTTGGATATCATAAAACAAAATTTATTGCAACATAGGGGAATGATAAGATTATATCGAGAGTCACGTGATGGGTGAAAGGGGCAGAAAGAGAACCTCTGAGACGGCTGACAACTGCTCTTTAGACGATGGTCGTAAATCACTTAGAGATGATGTGATGAACTCACATAGAGTGGTCCTTGCAGCATAAATTTGTTATAGTGCCATGAAGTTAGGCTTAATAGTAGTGTTCCTTTTGTAAATACTACCTCTGAATTACCAAAGGATATCTGAACTCTCTTTACAAGTAGTGTAAGGAGGCTATCGAGCTAATTGTATGTAGACTGTTTCCGATTTACATAGATCGCGATCTGGGGATACTGCGACTGCAGCCCTCATATGGATTTCATGGGTCAAGTTGTCCATTTTTGTGCCCATTTGCGGATTTTTATTTTTTCAATGGTAGCAATTGATGGTCGTTCGATCATAAGCTTTGCTTAATTACAGTACCACTAACCAATTAGCGTCAGTAGAGCCAACGATTTGCTCTAGTCCATATCCTCTTTTGAGCTGACTGCCGTGGATCGAGCGCAACCGTTTGCCCCATTGGCTGCTTTCAGACTTCGACGATTTTACCTGCCTGCGTGCCACAGGTGCTGAAAGCATCGTATGCCGATGGATCACGTGCCAGTGCTGTCAACAGGTGGCTAGCGCCGCCGCACGCACGCAAGTAGAATCGTCGAAGTCTGAAAGCAGCCACTGACAATTGCGAAGTCTGTCAAGTATCGCGGGCTAACGCGCCGCGTGCGACGACTGCGGCGTGACCTAGTTTCGACGGACGAAGCGCAACCGCCTTTGTGACGAGTATTTCCTCTCAAATATTCATTTTTTTAAATTGTCAATACTAAAGCCTTTCGAAGTATTTCTTGACCTGGTTTCAGAAACAAGGGGATGCCATTAAATATACAAACACCGAGTTGCTATTTCCTTGAGTTTTGAACTCTTTTCTCCTAGGATTATCGCTTATTAACATACAGCTCTAAAGAGCGAGTAAGCATGACGATAAGGATGTGGTTAAGTGCACAATATCACCAAAAGCTATGAAGGCATCTAGACGAAGCATCATTATGCTAAGTTCTAGTAATATAAAAATCTCTGAAGAGATTCAACCATCAAATCTGAATAGTCTAAAGGGACAACTAACTAATGTATGGACAAGAAATAGATTCGATAAAGGGGTAGTTTTAAGGCTGGAAATATACCGACGTCGGTGCAGGCCTCGTGCGATTGCATCGTAACTTTCGTTTCGGTCTAGGTTGCTTCGCCCAGCAATTGACTACTGCAGTATCACAGTCACACAAAGCTCTCTTACACGTTCCTTCAGCATCTGAAAGAATACCATTCAGACGGTTTCTGGAGGCCACGTGGTAGCGGCAAACTAACCGAGGCAAGTGGCCGTACTGTTAGTGCACTGCCAGTTGTAGACAAGTACGTACTCCAATGCCGTGTCCCGGCAGAACTTATTGTCAACGGCAGCCCGATAGCAGTTATCGTGATGCATGCAACATCTGCAACAAACAAAGCAATACCACTCACCATATTTGTTTACCTAATGTTGCCAGAAGTCATGTAGACAAGTAAACAGATGACGTCATTTCAAGGACGCCTTTTGCCCCGTTGGCATCTTTCATAGTCCACGACCGGTCGCTCGACTGGTCGCGGACTCATCTCACGAGCGACCGGCGACCGGTCGCGCGACTGATCGCGCCACTGGTCGCTCGATCGGTCGAGGAGGCCGCGCTACTTATGGGTGCCGCCGCGGGCGGTCCCGCGCGATCAGTCGAGCGACCAGTCAAGCGACCAGTCGTGGACTATGAAAGATGCCGTTGAGAATGCGGCTTATCGGCCTCTTTCGGGTTTTGGGCTCGGACGTCAGGCTCAAGTTTGCGATAGTTTGCGCAAGCGCAAGCAAATCTTTGATAGTAGTCCCGCGACACCGCCGCCCCGCCCATCGAAGGGCGCTAATTTCCTTACAGGGCCTGTACAGGGTGGCGGTATCTTTCCCCGAATTCTCACGGCAAGCGGCAGTCGTTCTGTGGCGGCTACAGTACCCTTCCATTAGAAATTCTAACATTTCTCCTCAAACAATGGAAAAAATAGGAAAAGTAAAGTGGGAAGGAAATGTGATGCACGATCCGTGTAGCGGGCTATGCACAGGCCGCTAGAAGTACCTACACCCGTCTGTACATAGTCCGCTAAACATGGGCCACATCCTTTTATTCCATCAAAGGACTTTCCCTAAGGTCTAAGCCAACAACTATAGGTGATTGGTAAGTTACACTCAGATCTTCTAAAATAGAGAGCCCTTAATTCCTATAAAGCCGGGTATCTCCTCAGCTCATCGCAAAGGACGGCGTTAAGTAGAGAAAGCAAGGTCCTTCTTTCAAGAGGTGTCGTAGTTCCCCCCGGCTATATTCTGCACACCATCACCAGTGCACGGAGAATATGCTCGGTGCAAAGCTTTTTTTTTCGATAAAAAAGTTCTTACTTATCAATCTCGTCGATCGGCTCGTGTGAACCTCCAAATCCACACCAACAACCATAGTTGTTGTAGCGCTACAATAAACTTCTTTTTAGAAAAGATATTAACGTCTTTCCGACTGAGAGGAATTCAGTAGTTCGAGCCTTATGGGGATAGTGTGAAAATTCAAAAATTATTGAGGAATGGAATGATTTCCAATGCCACAGGGTTTTGTACGTGATCGACGGCCTGACTTCGTTGCTAGACAGCAGTCAGCACTGAAGCTGAACAAACTTAATCTCTGTGTGTACTGCTCATCCATTGCTCAAGTGCCGTAGGGGACTCATATGTATCATGGTTGTTAAGTGAGGCCACTACCTATCAGTCCCTCATCAAGGCTACTATCCAAGACTTGCTGCGCGGCGAGACAACTAAACAAGAATCACCCCACGCTGTGAGCTGTCTTGTTATACACACGTTTTTTTGATGGAAGTAGTTTCTAGAAGACCGTAAACCTCCGAGATACGCTGAAGTTTTATGTCCCTGTTACCAGTATCGAAACTTTCTTCTGTAAGGTACGTGGAGAGATATTAAGACCGCTGATTTTACCCCACGTACGTAAGAGTATGGCTTGAGAACTTGAGGAGAGGTGAGAGCACATGTTCAAATACCCTTTACGTTCTAAGCCATCATCGTCTAGTTCATGGGTAATGTTGCTCTGGATTAGAAGATTCTAGGGCATTCACCAGCAAAGATGGAAATTGAAGTGCGATTGGGAGATAGAGAGCCCGGGGAAAGGCCGATTCGTGCGATTCTGGGTGCGCGCGGCAAATTGCGCGGCGAAATTCGCGATGATTGAAACAACTCTGGCGCCTATAATTGGGGCACAAACTTGTAGTAGGGTACTTTAGTAGGGCCGGACAGTCATACTAACCGTCTTTACTTGAAATTTGGGCCCCAATGATAAACGCTGCAATCGTCCAAATTTCGCCGCGGAATTTGCCGCGCGCACCCAGAATCGCACGAATCGCCACACACCCAGAGAGCCGCGATCGTCACTGGAGCGAACTAAATCTTCATGCCTGACCGCCAGACTTATATACAAAAAGATAGTCACTAAAGAATAATAGAAAGAAAACTCACTATGGGACTATAATGAAGTGTACATACGCCCACTTGCCGAAGATTCCATAAAGATCCGGCAAGAGGTTGAACGGACGTCGTATCGACGATAGGCTCTGGGGGAACGGACGTCGAACCGACGACAGGCTCTGAGGGAGCGGACGGAGCCGAATAGAGTAGAGGAATCGAAGCCAGACAGACAACGAGTCGATACATTGCTCAAACACCGATCAACCTCTAACAAGGGCCTTAAATATCTATACGTTTTGCCAGGGCTGTCCATCAGCGAAGTTTTTCAGATGACTGACAATAGGGAGCCACATGATTTTTTTGAAAAAATGAACTTCTGGCCGAATAGATAGGAATTTGTGAAAGCTGCTGACCAAGTATCCACAACGAATTTCGTCACAAGTATGATAAGGGAAATGTAGCGTCAATTGAACACACCACAGGCGTTCAGTTTAGGGATCAATTCCCAAATTACGGTACACTTCAAGCCGTAATCTTGTGCACCTTCTCCGCATAGTGGGCTCAACAGGAACTCGACGGGATTACGGATCCGAGGTGGTTTGTGAGGAAGTTCGTAAATTTGTTTCATAATCATGGAACATTACACAAGTAGATGGCATTTTCTGAGGAGCTAGCCGTAAGGCTGAGTATGCCAGAGAGTATTTTGCCATCAAAGCGAATCTTCAGTTCATGTATGTATGCAGAAAAGTCTACAAATTCTTATCAAAAAATTGAACAAAGGCGAGGAACATGGCTCATTACAATTAACGGCACAGTTCACGATAAAAATGGTTCTAGGAATACCCAGTGGCCCACAAGGGCAACAGGAAGGACGTTGTCGAGTTCCAAAACTCAACAGCTAGGGCATTGTGGGAGCCCCGTTACAGGATCGCCCGGACTTCAAGCCCCTCGGTCGATGTCACGTCAAACGAGTGTCGAGGCGATACAGATTGCAATATTCATTCTAGGACCCAGACACAATCAGCTGATTGCCGAGTGATGAGGCGATGTTTTCCTGCTATTCCTTTATTCCCTGTTTTTCTTTTTGCTGCCACAATCCCTTAATCAATTTTCTGCCACAAAAGGCTAAAAAAAGGTGAGCTACTTTTGCTGTTACTCGGGTTTTTTGTTAACTTATGCCCATGAGTGAATGAATTTTCGCTTATCGTAGTCAGCTACTCGCACCAGGACCCACGTGTACGCACAATGTGTAGCCCATCCAAACGCCCCATTCTCCTTCATTTTTCTGGTCTCATTCTCGTCCAGCCCACTTCTTCACTATTTTGCGAAGCCTTCTTTTACTTTTGAAACCGATTCACATTTCTTTGCCTTCAACGCACTATTTTCCATCTTATCTCCCATTTTTCGTCATAACTGGATTACCCAAGATTATCGAAAACTGTGCTTTGAAAACGCTCTACTTCCAATTTTATTCGGTTTTTTCCGATAGTACCTTGCTGACAGAGATTGACATGCCAGCAATGAAGTACAAATAGACGGAGCTTATCTGATTTCTGTCCAGAATTTTGTTAAGCACGTCTACGAGGCTTTTTTCTCTGATGGTCCCAATATATTGCTAGAGTGTCTTAGAAATTTGGAAGTTTGGATACATAAAGCAAAATTTATTGCAACATAGGGGAATGATAAGAATGCCGAGAGTCACGTGATGGGTGAAAGGGGTAGGAAGAAAACGTCTGAGAAGGCTAACAACAGCTCTTTAGACGTTGGCCGTAAATCACGTAGAGATGATGTGATGGAAAGGTGTGGTCACACCACTGTGGTATTTCGTTTACTTATTGTTAGTCATGTACTGGGTGCCAAAGATTACAGTATGACAGCTGTCATTTTAGTAAAACGTGCCAATGGAACCATAAAATCCATCTTTATAGGAGAATGATGATCAAAATCGCGATGATGGTATGGTGGCAAGTGGAGCACTTCCCACACGCATGGTCGCGGGTTTCAAAACGGGATCAATACCCGCCTAGGCCAAGTAAGCCTTGCAGCCCTTCGGGTTCGGATAATTAGTACCAGACACATCTGTGAGTATGAAAGCACTGGTTTGTACATCGGCTGGCCACCGCAAACCATTGTATAGGCCACATACGCATTCAATATGCCACTACATAGTGACGGTATGTGAACTTACGTGCGCCCGAGGACGCGCGCGGCAAAGTTTGTAACGATCTGATCGACTACAGCTCCTATCATGGGGGCCCAAATGTGAGGTCAGTAGATTAGAAGGATCATCTGACCTACTAAACTACTCTACTTCTAGTTTGTGCCATGAAAATTGGCGTCAGAGTCGTACAAATCGTCACGAAGAACTTCGCCGCGCAGTAGCCGCGCGCATACTCGGACGTACAGGTGAAAGCCCGTTGCGCGCGTCCGTCGAAAGTAGGTCACCCCGCCTACTTCGCGCGCGGCGCACTATACTGAGGTCTCGAGCTGACACTACGGTA